GACCCCAGCATAGGCATATCATAGATTTAATGGGGAAATGATGGGAAATGTCCATTAAATTGATGGAACCTTGCAAAAGCCCCCATTGCACACTAATGAGTCTCACTTATTTTCATTGGATTGTGTTGAAATTTGTCTATGTTTTTATATCTATGTACACTTTGATTCTGTGTGCTTTAACATAGTCCTCACACATCATATAATTTGTTTGGTCTTTCTATAAAAAATTAGAGGACGCAGGAAACCTAACTGGTAAAGATATTTTGACTGTAGAGAGATTATTTAAATTACCCCTTTTTATGTTAAAATACAATTGTTATATCACTCCTTCAGCCAATTTTATGTTTCCTTTCACTGGCAGTATTTCTATCTCTGTATGATCCATTTGAGGCCTGTTTTTCATCATCATCTTCTCCTTTATCTCCTCTCAGGTTAGATGAACTTGTGAACAAAGCTTCTGATCCTCTGGTAAATTGATATATTTAATTAAAAGGTAGTTCTACTTTTTCCGCCATATCAAACAGTGTTTCTTTTCTTTTCCAAGATTTGGCCCTCATGTCCAGAAATCAGGTGGCACTTCATCGGCCATCTGCAGAAGAACCCCATGTGAACAAACTCTGCTGGTGAGTGCCCCCTCCCCCCAACCCGCTTCCTCTGCTGATATTGACAGCGTTTTCACTGAGTGGTGTGTTATCCAGGCGTGCCCAACCTGTGTGTGGTGGAGACTGGTGGACTTCTGCCACAGCTGGCGGACCGGGTTTGGAACGACTCCGGCAAGGACCGCTCAGAGGAGCCTCAGCCACCCAGAGGTTAACAGGTCGCATGGTGCAGCGCTCAACACCAGGCGGAAAAGAAACAGAGTACGTGCTCAAAGTTCAGGCGCACTTTGTTTCTGCTCAAAATATATCTGAAAAATTAAGACCATACCTCTTAGTGAGTCCCCATAAAGTGAGAATTTATGTTTAAAAAAGTTGAAATAGATGCAACAAACTATAGTTTTTTGTATTATAGAACCGAAATGTTCCCCCACACAGCTGATTTAAAAGAAGGCCAGGCTGCGGTCTTTCTAGCTCCTGCTGTGTTAATCTGAAATCGCGCATACTACTTTTCTTCTTCTTGCTATTTTATTTTTGTTTTGTTGTGTTTCTTCTTGTCTTCTCATTTTTTGTTTAAAGGGGCGGCCAGGCAAACAGCTTTTAGCGCGCAACTACCGCCCCCCTGGATGTATGATATAGTGTAATGGGATAACTCCTGCAGCCTTATAAAGTGTTGGAAGACTTTTTTCCCTTTGTACATAAAAAACTTTAGTGCCCCGGTCCCGCCCACAGGAAATGCTAGCGGAGGACTGAGGAGGGGAACCGAGGAGAGAGGAGGGGAAGCAGCAGGCGGTTAAAGAAATTAGAACTCCTCTCCTCTGAACGGTCATTTTAAAGAGACGTACATTAATGATGACAGGAGGCACAGCAGCCCTCTGTCTGATGGACAGATGTGTTCATGACGACTTATATATTTAATTGACAGTGCGATATAATGAGACAATAACAGGCTACAGATGCGGACATATACACACACATATTTACATAAATATATACAATTTCAGAATCAAACAAGTATGAGAGCACTCTCATAATAACGTAACACAATCAGAGACTGGATATATCCCCCCCCCTCTCTGGTCGCTGAAATGGGGAATTGAAATGACGGGCCAAAAGTTGTATTTACAAGTATTAAAAGTAAGCATAGGACACCAAACCAACTGAGACCCGTCTGTCCGCCGCATCTACGCACTGTACAACACACACACCTACACACTGTACCACACACACCTACAGCTCCTAAAGCATAATCAGGCTACAGCAGTTGTGTATTTTATTATGTGAAGCACTAAATGGCCTTGAAAAATACAGACTCTTTGTTTGTAGATATCTACTTAACTACAGCAAACAAATACAGAGAGTAATGTGGGGCCTGTTATACTGAGTGATCTATATTTTACACACTGCTCTGGTTTCTGCACGGACCTCACAGCTGTTCTCACTGTAAACATTGCGTCGCCGTTCAAGCGGTTAATAAAATAATATCCAGGGGATGCATGCAGAGCTGTCATTGGCTGAGATAAGTCCGGCCGTGCGTAACGCTTCCACCGTTCCCGGAAATGCATCCGTGGAGGAGCCGTGGACGACCCATCAGTGTCTCCTCGGTTAGAGCTCCTCCAGAGAGCCTCCTCGATGCTCGGTCCTCGATGTGCATTTAGAGAGATGAGATGTCCTTCAACATGGCACGCTGAAATCCATTTCCGGGTCACAACCGGAGGACCGAGGAGTCGAGGAGGGGAAATTAGAGTATTGAGAAACCTCTCTTGGCAGTGCCCAGGAGTCAAACTCACCTCTCCAGGTGCACACCACATTTTGTATATTTATTGTCCGTACCGGGACTCAAACCGTCGACCGCCCGGTTCCTGAGCAGCGTCCCTATGGGGAGTGATCCATGTTTGCTAACGGTCCGTATGTCCCTGCAGATAAACACGGGCTCCCCCCCGAGGACACGGTGAGCACGGTGCAGCACATCCTGTCCCACTGCGCCGCTCTGGACTTCTTAGGACTCATGACCATCGGTCGCTATGGATACGACCTCAACCTCGGCCCCAACCCAGACTTTCAGGTACAAAACACTAGAGCTATTTCATGTCCAGTAATAAGAATAGAAGTATAATAATAACATGACTATTGATTAAGCTTTTTTTCAACCTCTCAAATTTCCATAACACCTGCTATCCTCTGTTTAAGTCATTTTCAGTAACATTTCTTTGGGGTTTGGACTTACATAAAAATACATCAACTTGGGGTTTGATGGACTGTGATGGGTTATTGTAGGGAAAACAAAACAAAAATACTGATCATCAGATGAGCTGATGATTGAATGAAAATATTGATACGCTGCAGCCCTCTAAAAGGCTCTCATGAATAACACTTGGTTATGAGGCTGATGTGAAAATGATGTCTGCTGTATATCTACAGTAAACTAAAACTCTACACTGATACAAACGTGTGTCCTTCTCAAAGCAGATTGTTCTTATGCAAAATAATTAAAACCAAAAAAAAAATAATAATAACTCAACTTTGAAAGAACAAACACTAAATAGAAATTGATCTCCAACATTATTTTTTTAAAGACAGATCTGTATCTCAACTAGAAGGAGTCTAGATACATCTGCAAGGCTGGTATTATCTTTTGCAGACATTAAAGTGTTACAAAAATTACACATTAAGGTCTGACATATTAGGAACAGTGTTTTTCCACCAAAGAGCACTGACACACACACAGGTTTGAACTATCGATTGTATGGCTGATCACACTGTGTATTTGTTATTTATTAATATGCTATAAATCCCATCATCAGATATATATTTTTTAAAACTCGTAAATATTGATTTCATGATTCTATAGTTTTACTGTCATGTACACAATAGCTAGAGTATTAGTAGTTGTAGTTGTTGGTAATGAAAATCTTAATTCCCTCCAACAATGCAAAACACTAAATACTTTAGACAAAGAAATAGATAAGTAAAATAGTGCAAGTGAAAGTGATACAATTGTAAAATGCAGCATTAAGTTAATAGTGTAAGATGGAATAAGAATGCAGACTCTGGTACTGTGCAGTAGACTAAGGAGTGTGTGTGGTGCAGACGCTGCTGGGGAGCAGGCAGCAGCTGTGTGACGGCCTGCAGATACCTCTGGAGCGGGTGGAGCTCAGCATGGGGATGTCAACAGACTTCGACCACGCCGTGAGTATCGCTCCTCATCAGCACTTGGAACACAAATATCAAAGCAAAGCCAGATGAAATCCTTCTTTAGGTACGTTTTTTTTTTCAGGGTCACAAATTGACGGACACAAATTACGTATTTTAGTACCCAGTATTTAAGCATTTATTCAGTCGGACTACGTGAATTTGATTAATTTATAGAAGTGCATTACATATTTCTTTATGAATTTGTAAACCCTAACATTTTTTGATATGTTGTCCTTATGAAAGAAATGGTGGAGAGGGAGGGGGGTGGTCCTATCATTTTCTAAGTCAAATATCCATGCTGTTATCAAAGTGGGACTACTATGGATTTATAATTTATGAAAAATAAATAAATTGGCCATCAAATTTAACAAAAATAGGAGGAACATTTTAATCAGTTTGCTTTTTCATTTATGTGTGTGTTAATCCTCTTTGTATTTAATGAATGCATACATTTCAAAACAAAAAAGACTAATGCAAAAAATGCTTACATTTAAAAAAACCTTGTGAAGAAAAAACGGTAAAGTAAATGGCAAAAATATTATAAAAGTAGAGAAGCAAATTAAAACAGAAATATCAATTTCTGTCACATTTAATCATTTAAACTATGCAAATTATTTTAAATTATAATAATGTATTGTTATAGATCATTTATGTTCAAAGCATCTTCAGGGTCCCCAGTAGTTTTTTAAAAGCTTCTACAGAGAGTGCAGAGCGGATGACTATAGGAGGGAGTAGGGATGGGTATCGTTTGAAATGTATCGATTCCAATTCTGGTTCTGCTTATCGATTCCGGTTCTTATCGATTCCCCGTTTCGATTCCAAAATTGTAAAAGAAAGAGGTCAAACGTTTAGATAACGAAAATATCTTTATTCTTTTAAGCTTTAACTGACATTTTTACAAATAAAAAAAATACATGCAATACAAATGTATTGCACAATAGCTGTGCTTTATTTTAACTGAGCTATGCCTGTGGCAAGCTATTAACAGGCATTACACTGTGCCTTGTCTTTTTCTTTTTTAGTGTAGTGGAGCCTCACTTTAGAGCATTTACCTGTATGACCCTGTATTCCACCGGGTCGCCGTGGCGCAGACGGACCGGGTGGAATACAGGGTCTACCGCATTTAGGAACCGTTAAGCAGAACCAAAATTGTGTATTTTGTATGGGTACCCGGTACGCAGCATTTTCTTATCGGTTCTCATCTGGAACCGAGTTTCGGTTCCCAACCCTAGGCCTAGGCGAGATACTAAGTCCCTAATTGCTCCCGATGGCACAGCCAGCGGTGTGTGAGTGTGTGTACATTTCCCCTGAGGAGCAGGTGGCACCAGCCTCTGTATGGCAGCCTTTGTCACTTGAGGATGAATGTGTGAATTCATGTGTGAATGCTGACGTGTGTTGTAAAAGCATTTTTAAATGATTGCAAAGACTAGAAATGCGCTCTATAAATGCAGTCCATTTAAGATTAGACAACTACAAATGTGGATAAAATGCATTTTAACCAGTAGTTCACATATGTAAAAGAGATCTCAAGTCAACATTAGTTAATGCTTATGTTAGGTAATTATGCAGCTCTAAAATGTGTGGAGTAGTGTAATGTCAAGAGTTAAGAGTCTATAGTGGCTACGGCACTCTTGCCCTCTTTTGCTAAAGTGTTCTTCTCCAGTTTGTTTGTTTGTTTGTTTAGTTGAGCTGCTTCTCAAAATGTCTCTGCAAGAGTGGATGTTGAGTGGGCAGTAATGTGGTGTCTGCTCTCATAAAGCCACACCTCTGCTCATGCCAAGACCACTGGGAGGTTGGCTACAAAACCAGGGCAAAACCATCAAATCATGTTTATGCAAAGCTCAGCACTGGGGCTCATCTAAAGTTATCATAGTGTGACTCTTTGAGACTTTCTGTTTACACTCCTGCAGGAGAATTGAACAACTAGAACGATGAACAAAGACAGAAGCAGTATGCATACTTCGCTTCAGATTTATAAAGATGTGCATGCAGATGATTTCTTCTCCATTAGTCTAAAAGTGGTCAGACGGGGGCAAACATAATTTCTGCTCCCACAGCATACATTGCTTTAATAACTCCCCCGGCCCTACGACAAACACATTTTGGCATGGTGTGCAGGTGGGATGGTGGTTGGGGATAGTGTCGGCCCCATTATTTGGCAGTTCTCGCAGGCAGGCGGCTAGCAGTCGTTTGTAGAAGGGGAGGCACATGATCTGTCCTCATTAGGCCAAAGGACAGGTTGGCAGTGTCAACAATTATTGATATAACCATTAAAATGTTCAGGGATACGGCATTAATGTGGTTAAGTAGTGCCGTGATCAAAACAAATCCATGGTTCAAGAGTTGTTTGGTACATGAGCTCTAAATGCAAGTTGGGGTTCAGTATTTTGCCGAAAGACAGTTTGATTATTGACTGCAGGGGCTAGGGATCGAACCCACTGACCCTCCGATTTGTTCACTCTTCACCCCCCGAGCCACAGTTGGCTTCAAGCCTTTCTCTGTCCCTTAACATCACGCCAAAATGAGTTTAATGTGGCGTTGATTCTCGGTGAGAGAACATAAATGCATCACTACATTTAAACAAAATGTCAACCCTTAGAGGTGTATCTTCTTATTGGCAAAATACTTTTTTTTACTTAACTTAGTATCACTGCTATATCTTTTATTGTTGTTGTGTATGTTGTCAGTAAAGTGTTTTATTATATGAATGCATTTTCAAAAACAATTCATCCTGATGTTTCAATTGTACATTTGAGTTGAAAACAAAGAGCACATTAGTGATAAGACAGATTTACGTCCCCTGCAGTACACTTTAGGCTGTTAGCCATGCTTGATAAATCAAACTGATCAGATAGTATGTTGGTGATCACGCTGTTCAGCAGCAGTATTCAGAAATAATTGCTTGTCCAAAAATAATCGGAAGAAGAAAAAACCTTGCAGATTGCCAACAGCTCATCTTCTTTATTGTTCTCAAAGTGGGGAGGGTTTATTCCTCCAACACAAAAAAGTTAGAATTAGTTTTTTCAGATATTTGTTATCTGTGCTTTTGGGTTGGGTATTGGTACTTGTATCTACTAAAATAAAAAAATTACAAACACATACTATAACCGGTAGCACAACAAAGAAAGTGGAATGTGGAACTCACGTTTTCACCTGAGAGTTTTCAGCATTTTTTCATGTTAAATGTAAGTATATTCTCTTCCTATATGGGGACTGATTTTCTTCTCCAAAACATAATTGCATACTGTGAAATTTCACATATAAAATGCTTTCCCACTTTACATGGCAATTTATACGTTATAAATACATTTTTGTTTTTAGTAAGCACATTGTACGTTGCAAACTTTTTTAATTGAAAAGACGCCATATTAAACACCTCACATGGCACTGAGCATCGCATGACTTTGCACCACAAAGAGTGAGGCTACAAATATTTTAAAAGTCTGACTACTTCACAGTAGTTGGGAGGTTCTTCGAGGAGATTAGCACCCATCCCGTACCTCACCATTTTTTTAAGCTGATGTGTATAATCAAATATTCAAAACACAATTACAGTGGACCAGTTGTACACAATGAGATCTAGGATTCTAGGATATATTCCAAGCATCCATTATCAGGGAAACAACATGGTGATTGTTATGCTTGGCAGCACAACCGGCAGGCATCTACATCTGCTGATGGTAAGTGATTGTAGGCGTTTCATTAAGTCACTGCTGAAGAGCACATGTGAGAAACGCCTGCGGGGGCGCGGGATGGAGGAGGCTGCTTCGGAGGTGGAATAAGTGACTGACGGGGATGAGCAGATAATGAGCTTTTTTTATTTTGGAAGAAAATGGCTTTCTGCTTTTGTTCACTTGAAATTATGAAATTGTGCTTAATGCACCACGAACTGTACATGAAATAAAAAGGAGGTAGTTAGATTAAAATGATGGATCTGTATCATAGAACTCTCAAGAAAAAACATTACAAAATATTATGTGTACAAGAAGGTCTGCTGCTACTTGGAAAGATTGCAGAGTAGGTCAACTCATTCAAAATTCATTCTCAAGAGAGACACCAACAAATTATCATTAAATATAAGCAAAACAAAGATTATGCTGTTTGGAAAACCAATTAATACTAGATAACATAAACATAGAAAGATTATATGAAAATTAAGTTCCTTGGTGTGGTTTTAGACCACAAAATCAGCTGGAAACCTATCACTCATGTAAAAGCAAAACTATAGGTTACTTACGTAACCCCAGTTCTCAGAGTAACATGTAGTGAGATGTCTCACTATGGGATGCGCCTCATCGCGGAGCAAACAGAAGCATCAATCTCATTACGCCAATCCTGATTGGCTGGTGATCTTGACGTCAGCGTCAGGGAATCCACCCACCCTATAAGTAGCTTGCGCCACGTCGCAGCGTCATTCAAAATAAGCACCTCTTCTCGCTTCGCCTTAGCAAGGAGGGCCGTCTGGTGAGACATCTCACTACATGTTACTCTGAGAACTGGGGTTACGTAAGACAAGTAACCTATAGTGCTCATTCATAACACTCCGTTCGATGTCTCACTATGGGATATTGAAGCTCCCGTATTGCCAGACAAGCTTATCTCGAAAATCACCAAACCAAACAGAACTTAACAGGTAGAGCTCTGACTCAACACGGGGCCCAGCACTGCTCGGGCCACACTAGGAGCAGAGACGTCTAGCCTGTAAAAGCGGACAAAAGTGAGCGGCGAGGACCAGCTCGCCGCTGCACAAATGTCTTGGATGGAAACACCCTTGAACAAAGCCCAGGATGTAGCCAGACCACGAGTCGAATGAGCACGCAGACCCGTAGGTGCCTGCAAACCCTGACTCGCATAGGCCAAAGCAATCGCTTCCACAATCCAGTGGGAGAGCCGTTGCTTGGTAACAGGCTTGCCCTTCTCAGGGTTAGCCCAGGATATGAAGAGTTGGTCACTACAACGAAACTCTTTTGACCTGTCCATATAGGTGCGTAAAGCACGAACTGGACACCGCAAATTCGGCCG